TATTATTATTATTATTATTATTATTATTATTATTATTATTATTATTACTACAAAAAAACAAGTTATACAATATAAATAATTTTTTGAAATAGAAGTTTAAATAGAAATGTTTATTTTCATCCGTAATAAAATAGCATTCGCTTAAACATATTCACTTTTTGAAATATAAAATTTTTAATTGGAGTCTGTAGTCAATAGATTGAATTCGTTAGAACAAGGACAGATTTCGATGAAAGAAAAACGATGTTTTATACTGTTCTAAAACACTTATACTCTTATAATATATTAGGTGAACTGGAAAGTAATGTCGTTTTTGCAATTTTAAATACTTGTTTATCACTCGTCAGCTTATCGATTTTGATCAATCTAGCATTAAAAATTTTGCACACCTGATAGCAAAAGGCTGCTAATAACGAGGGCGATTACATAATTGATTAAAAATAGAAATTTATTTAAAAATTTGTTTGAATTTAACGTAAAAGAAACTACATTACTTTCCAGTCTAATATTATATTTATACCACAGATTCCTGCACTTAACATTGCTAAAAAATTATCCAACAGTTCCAATTGATACAACTATTACTTGGATAGATCAGAAATGATAGAACTATTAAAATGAAGTAAGAACATTTAATTATTTACAAGTACACTGCGGATTTTTATGCATTCGTAGGAGGATTTGAATGTTCAAGGAACTATAATATAAAATGCACACAGTATGCAATAATATAAAAAAATAAAAATATGTAAGTTAAGGTTATATTAAGTAGAAAGTAAGATAAATTCCTACTTAGGTTCAAGTTTTGTAGGAACGTTTGCAAAGATTTTATTTTGCACAAAGATCCGCAGTCTGTTTATGAGCTGAGCGCAAAGTGAGCTGGCAAGCTTCACACAGCTGAGTGTAGTCGGCACGTGGCACATACCGAATGCGTAAACGGGCAGTGTTCGGCTAGTACTTGTGAGTTTTAATACGAAGTCGTTTAACGTCAACATGCGGGATATTTCGATTCGGTTGCATTCAGTGTGTCCACACCTGCCTCAAAGGCTTAATCAAACACGGCTCCCATGGGCGACGAGATTGGGATACGCTCCAATCAGCGCATCCACGTCACCACACTTGGTTACGGATCACCCGTACGATATCGGGTTGCAAGTTGCAAGCATCCACACTAATCGACACCAACCGTTTCCAAACCTCTGCCGTTTCTACTACAATATCATTGTCGCTTCGATGGCCCATCGGTTGGCCAAAGTGGAGGTGCGCTTTTCTCCTCCTTTCATTGGGGAGAATCTTCTTCTCTTTTGGGACGTTCTTCTCTTCGATCGGTAAACCCATTGTACAAATTAACACTTTACCGACCGGTAGCCGATTAATCGGCTTTTTGTCTCCAACGCTTACCGACCGGTAACTGCTATGGTAACTAGCAAGTATTTGTTACTTTGAATCGAGATACAAGTTGCTTTGCTCTGTAAGCTCTCGTGTTTTTATACAATTCCCGGTGCCAGGGAAGATATGCTGCCGAGCGGGCGGTGAGGAGGGCATTAGGATCTTGAACCGCTACCCGGTCGGTAAAGTGTTAAGACATAGTGGGTCTACTGTGCTGTCTCTAAAGAAAATACTTGCAGTTATGTTACTCTGTGCAATTCAGAAGAACTCGATGTAATACAAAAGAACGTGGAATAAGACATCGATAATACTCTGATAAAAGGGTATAAAAGATATAATAATTTTAATTTTCATTGGTGAATTACGCATTGTCAGCCGGTACACGTGTTTCTCTACTTTCGATTACGAAGCGCCGAACGCAGATAATCCAACACTCGCTCTCTGTTGCTTCATCTTCCTCTCTCTCCTTGTTGGACTCTGTCAGCGTGAGTCGCCATACTCAGCCTGAGATATAAACAATCCACTCGTAGACTTGGAAACCTTCCTGTTATTCTCGGCTCTGCCGCTACTTTTCCTATCGCGTCTACTTTACCGACCTTCATCCTTGGACACGCACAATTTGTGCCCTGGCACGCCTTTCTTTTAATTTTACAATTCACCTTCACTTACGCTTACACTCTATCTTACATCCTACTTAATTCTTGTCCGTGTCTATATCTATTGCTTTCCTAAATAATTGAAATGCTGAGGGTCTCTCTCTCTCTCTCTCTCTCTCTCTCTCTCTCTCTTTTAAGTATTTGAACAGTACAGTTTTACTTGGAAAAATTATTCTGCATAATAATCGAGTTAAATAGGAGATGGGCGATCTGCGAACCACCGAATGGCTCGACGTAGTTCGTATTTTGTTAATGTCAGCATGAGCAAGGCTGAACCACCGAATACCTACGATTATTAGCGATTTATATTGGTAATAATGTGATAATCACGTTAGGAACACTAATTTTAGAAAATATAGCATCGTGCGATGCTTCGGAAAATAAAGTAGTCGTACGTATTTAATAAAAGAAAAGAAAAATAGATTACGAACGTACGTAGTTATGAGTGGAATACACGTACAAGTATTGTTTCATTGAATTTCAAACTTAATTTGCGTGCATAATTGATGTTTGCATGTTTGTCCACATGATTCAATAGCTGCGGTCAAAGAGTATAATATCCTTTGTGTCGTTGGTCTTCGGTAGCGAAGATGATGTCATTTCAGTTATCCAGAGAATGTATGTTTTCGTATTCTTTAAACAAATTCATATTTGTGAAAATGTTTATTTCGAAGATGGAGTCTGAATCATAGGATTCTAGTATTGACCAAAACATTCGACATTGTGATTTTTCCTTAAAACTAATGTTTAGAAATACAATCATTTCTCAAGTGTTTTTCGAGTAAACAAGACATTTTATCAAGATTAACAAGTTAATAATACATCTTATCGAGGTTGTCGAGTAAATAAAATTTACAAATTGTATATTGTTCGTTTCATAAAAGTTGGCTACCGTTTAGCTTCTATAGTCATGAGTTGCATTTTAATGTTAACTCGAAAATGATAATTTGTTTATAAATTTACACTACATTTTTTGAAGGCGTACACACGATTTTTTTGGTTAACGAAGATAGTATATATTTAAGTTAGGAAGTTAGTACAAATTTATGATATATAAATAGAAAAAGTATATACAGGGTGGTCCAAAAATGTTGTAACTCCTTGAAAGGTGTGGTTCGAGAGGTGATTTGAAACGACTTTTTCCTTAGCGAAAATGTTGTACGTGGCTTCGTTATGGAGATATTAACAGAAAACTCCGGACCAATCAGAGCGCAAGTATGCTGGCGGAGGGCGGTCGCCTAGCGCGTGACCTACGCCTACTCGTCCCTTGATTGGTCAGTGTTTTCCGTTAATATCTCCTCAACGAAGCCTCGGATAATATTTTCGTTAAGGAAAAAGTTGTTTCAAATCACCTCCCGAACCACCCCTCTCAACGACTTCCGACATTTTTGGGACACCCTGTATTTACTAAAAGTTAGGAAGTAATTAGATAATTTAATAGAAATTTATGATAAATAAATAGAAAAAGTATATATTCCCGTAAGCATTAATACCCAATATAATCAAACGCGTTACACAAGAGCGTACTTTAAAAGAAACCATTACGTGTGCATAAAAGCCACGGGAGGAGATGTAAATATAGCCGTTAGAAAACACAAATGAAAGTCAGTTGCCTAATCAAAAATAGATTGAAATTTCCTATCAAATTATAACGATCGAATTGTATGTTGATCTTCTGAAATTGCACCCCTCTTAACAAAAATTACCCTTCCGAAGTATATCATTCCATTGTCATGAACATTCAACCCTTTATCGAGTAATTCTTCAAATTGCAGAAAATTTCCATGCTCATTTTCGATTTCCGATAACGCGAAAACGTCGAAAGTTAATCGTTACGCGTTGCTATCTAACGCCGACGAGGCCGATAACGGAGGATTACGTTAAGCGGGGCAAACGTTGATTTGTCGCACGCTACGCCACTGTCTGCTATCTCGCTCTGCATCGCCTTTTTCTTACTTTCTTTCTCTCTTCCTTCCGTCCCGAGAAGTATCGAGAAAGCACTTCCTTGTGAGTCGGTGAGAGCGCTACGTAAGCGGACGCATTCGGCACATTGAGTTCACTGACCAACTCAAGGTCGCGAAAACTCCCATTTTCATCATTTCCACGACATCCTCCTGTTTTCAGAACCATCGACATCGAATCGAACCGTTAGGTAGAAAACGACAGCCTGTAGATCACTATTATCTAGGGCTCTTCACCTTTTTTTTTTTTTTTATTTAATGCCTAGCAATTAACTCAAGGTTGTGAAAATTCCGATTTTCATCATTTCCACGACATCCTCCTGTTATGAGAATCATTGAAATCGAATCGAACCGTTAGGTAGAAAACGACACCCTGTAGATCACTATTATCCAGGGCTCTTCACCTTTTTCTTTTATTTAATGCCTAGCAATTAACTCAAGGTCGCGAAAACTCTACTTCTCATCTTTTTCACGACATAGGAAATCTATAAGTGTACGAAGTTTCAACTAAATCTGAGATCAGAAGAACTTGGCTTCTCCTTCAATGCGCGAGTACGTGTTTTGTTCGAGTCTGCCAATTAGTAGCTAATAATTCACGTCATAACTGTGGTAAATAAATTTGTTATCAGCGATATCCCATGTTATCGATGAATCAATAATAGATTATCTCTCAACGAGCTGGAAGGAAATTTAAAAGCACAAAAACGATAAAAAGAGAGAGAAGGTTGAAGGAAGCATTGGAATACCCGGAAGAAACACACGATTGACACTTGGCGCGATAAATCTTCAAACTTCATCGAGAGCTTTCCGCCTTTCCTACCTCTTCAGTTAGAACGAACTACTTGAATTAAGTTTCGCATGTTCCGTTTTATTTTTGTTTAAATTAATATTGAAATTGTAAAATTACGATAGCTGCGCGTGTATAGGTGTGATACTTTTATTAATAATGATATAACAATTTTGTTCGATTTAAAACGCAATAAAATTCCTGTGCAACATGGGTCTACTTTATGACCTGAATTCCCTGTGCCGCAAAGAGTTAAAGCTTTGAACCCTTTGCAGTCAACCGGCACACCACGGTTGGCAATGTTATTTTAACCTTGCACTTGGGCCCCACGTGGCGATCGTCACATGTGATTTTACCCGTTGTACTCAGCTGTCACGTGACGAGCTTTATCTTAGCGTAGGTTATTTATCGAACGGTATAGTTTTGCGTAACATGCAAATAGAAACCTTTTCTGCTGAATTGTGTTCTCCGAGTCCAAAGCCTTACACCCAGCCGCATTGAATTCGCCAATTGTAGATTTTTATCAGCATCGACGGCCAACTCCCGCGCGAATTCTTAAAAAAATCATCCTTTCATTTTTAAGAAATTAGACGAAACTTTTTTATATATTTTCCGAAGGTGTTCATAACATGTACAATAACAAAAAATGTCAATCTAAAGTGTTCGTTATCGAGAGAACTGTATTTTTTAAGATTAGGTAGCTTTTTATACGGGGTGTCTCGGAGTGTCTTTGTGTCTTTGTTCTACATGGAATAATTTCAATTTTTAGAAAAATTCTAAACGCACACATATTTACCAGTGTCTTTGAAGAGGCTAAAGAAGGCGGTTTTTGCTGGAAAGAAGATCATTCGGGTCGTTTCTTGCGTTGAGTATGACTTCCGGCTCGACTTCCTCCTTTCGTTGGCTGGTCGCGACCTCCAAATCGGAAATATCCATCCGGAATGATCGATCGATTACATTTCGCCCGAATTTCGTTCGACTTTATATGATTCTCGTTTTTATGTTCCTAAATCGATATCCCGTCCATATATGACATTAAGCGTTGTTTAATGTTTTTTTCTGAACCCTTTTAACAGTGGCTTATGATTCTCTCTTCAATCGAATATTTTTTTTTTTTTATAATTATCGCATTAGTTTAATATTACATTTACAAAGTTTTTCTACAACGTCATCGTTCATTTTTCTGTAAATACCAACGGAACAGGTGTAATACCTATTTTGATAGCTAATCGCTCAATAAAGAGAGCAACTAAAAGAAACAGAGAAAATACACAGTCAGTGATAGAAGTATTCGTACAGCAACACAATTAAAATAAAATTAATTAAAAAAGAAATACACAAGAGGTTAACGTTACAAAATAACGAACTCTAATTTACGCACATTTATCCGTTTTTTTTTTCCTTCAAAAAACCGTACTTTTGTCTCTGAAAAGAGTCGGACTTCAAACGAACCTTCCTAGATGATTTTATTATACGTACATCTCTTAGGAACACCTTTAAAAATCTTTAAACCAAAATATTATATCTCGCAAACGAAGGTCCGTTCCGAAAAAAAGCGAAAACGATTTGACGGTATTACATGCGTACCACCATAGTTACCTCTATACCTTCCCCTTGTTAGACACCTATTTCACAACTCGAGCAACGAAGCCAGTGAACCACCGCCTTCGAAGATTGCTTTCCCGCAAGAACCGTAGGACTAAAAGAAATTGACAGAACGGAAAGAGTCTAGAGGTCGATGGAAATACGTTATGTAAATCAATGTTTCCTGCTGGCTTTCATTCTTCACCTCGGTCTATGCTAATAATCATTCCTCTTTCCAAAGTTGACTTCGCAACGCGCCTATTCGGTTACCCTGCTCGCACGTTTCACGAGCACACGAACCGTTCACTCTGAAAGTGCTATAAGTTAATATTTATTTGTTACGAAAATTCAAAAGGTCTTGTGTTTCATGCGACGAGGGAATACAATCAACGTTTTTGGCATAATCGTCACGTCCAGGTAGAATGTACGATAATCCCGTTGTGTCCTCGTACCTTGCTAGGTTTCCTTTGGGGGACCAAAAATTATTAATTTTTTTTTTTTTTGTTTTTTTTCATAATCCTGTAGATTTCGGCAAGTAGAATCCGAAGGTGCCAGTTTCAAGGCGAGGGACAAGAAAACTTCAAAATTTTAGGTCCGCCAAAATGAAGTTTAACCTACAATTGAATTTGGAGCAACATCTGTTTACATAATTTTGAAATGAAATTTTGTAAAAAGGAAGAATCGTATCACAAAATTCTTAACCTTGTTTGTCCGACAACTTTCAAAGCGTACGCAGAAGAAATGTCAAACAACGTTAAAATTGAAATCACTCCTTCAAAAGCGAAGTCGAATGTCTCTTTGAACGAAATAGAACACACAAGGTTAGGAATGTTTGTGACACAATTATTTAAAACGAATTTCTTTTTACCAATTTATTCGCTGGAGAATTACTAAAACAATTAATTCTGAAGGTGGGGCGTTGAAAATATCAAATCTGAATTTATAAATTTGGTTATATCGGAAAAATGATGATAAAGCAATACGAAGTAAGACAAGTACGAATAACGCTAAGATAATATAAATAAAAGTACTAAATTAATGTTTCACAACGAAATTTTCAGGAGCGTTAAACCGACAACCAACGTGTGCTGAAATTAATCGGTGATGAACGACCATCCCCTCGCTTATTTATACCATATAATGATCACCATGTAACTATCGACGTTTCATCATACGATAAAAAAGACAAAACATTGAATCGGTGCAAAAAATGATTCACCATTAACCGGTAGAAATTTTGAATCTGTATTTTCGTTATTTCAGAGAGGAGGGAATAGAAAGCGGGAAGTGCTATGAAATTGTTGCCAACGATTCAGCTACCGCAATTGCCGCCGGTCTCGGCCGGGGGTGGAATGACGGGGATGGACTCTCGGCTGCCACCAGGCATATCTTTGCCTTTCAGCCCCACGGAGCTGCTCTGGCGATATGGTCCAGCCATGAATTTTCCACCCACTCACCCACCGCCCACTCCCTTTCTCGACTTCAAGACTCATCTACCAGCGAGTCTAGGTAAGATCGGTTCGGTTTATATTTTTCCTATGTTTTTTTTATATTTTTCTCACCTTCCAAGGTGGACAAAATTTCAAACGAAACAGACAGAATACAAAGTACAACGAAATCAAAATAGGCAGCTAAAGGTGCAAGAAACGAATCGAACGCCGTTTCTATGTACGTTGAATAACGCGTTTACGCGCCGAACGTGTTAATCCCTTATGCGACGAAAACACGATTCTTCGGATAAACGAATATAAAGTACGAGTTTCTTTCGAAATTAATTCTTTTCGCGATAAACGGTGTTCTTCCTTTCGTTACTGTGAATTATTGAAGCCTTCCTTTCGTTATTGCGAGTTCAGAAAGCTACACTCTCTGCCGTTTCGTGCTGGATACTAAACGATTGTCAAGAGTGTTGTGTGTCTGGACCAGTCAAATGGTCAATTACAAATGGTATTTAGTCATTCTGCTACAAGTACGAAACTGACCTCGCTTAAGCTGGCAGAACCGAAATCAACAGAATCATATCGGACTTGGTGGAATATTTAGTACTTATTTTGTACTAATTCGTACCGCCAACAATAATTGTCTAACTCGTGCCGTTTTCGAAAAATTCGTGGCTAGCTTAATATTAAGCTAGCGGGACCACACGTCAAGATTAATAAAAATGACAACATTAAAGTGGATACATTTAGT